CTGAAACAGGCGAGGTGTTTTGGTCCCCTCTATATGGGTGGGGGTTGCCATGATAGCAGGAAGGAGTCAACTCTTTTGCTGCATTGTAGCAAAGCTGCAAAATGCAGCTTAAATTCTGCAAACTGCATAATAATCCAAGTTATTTTTCATAAACAAACTTTTAGTAAACATTCTGTTTTGTTATACTCTATAGATATAGTGTTTTGTTTTACTGCTTGTACATAAAATATATGTTTTTGCATCCAATAGAAACAGTCTGCTCATTTCCAAATGTTTCTGTTTTTCTTTTCATATATATTAGAGACCCAAGAGGGCAAAAAACATCTCCAGCCTTTGTTGACTTATCGGGGTAAAGAAGTGGGCTGATGAAACCTGGAGAGACTCAGTGTCCTTCCTGAACAGGTGTTTACCATCCTGAGAGCTGCAGCTTGTTCGCTGCCCTGCTACTAAGCCTCCATTATGTCTTTGTTTTGCTGCACATCTCATTTAACAAGGACTGGTTGGAACTGGGATCCTCACATGTATACTGGTCAGATGTTTACTACCACCAGAAACCTGCTTTTATATTTTCAGCAATCAGCCATGGAGTCTGGACCTAGAAGTTCTAGTTCAATTAATTTGTGGGACAATCTGAGATAGAAATCTTTGTAGAACCAAATGAGAGGAGAGAAGTCATAGAAATATTAAATGTGTCATGATGGTTAAATGGTCAGAAACCTCACATTCAAATGCTGATTTCTATAGGTCTGTCCCAATGAAGCCTGGCTCTTATTTATAAGAGGAAACATAATGTTGTGCACAATCAACATGGGAGAATTAATTCCACATTGTTTCCTTTCTATCTTTTACAGCCAATGAACCAATAAATCAAGCAAACTGTGTCTGTCATTCAAAGGCTCGCCACTATTCTAAAACAACAGAGAAAATAAAGATTGGAGAAAAATCAGCGATTTGATTGGTCTTTGATCAGCTGACCGCATCCTCCCAGCTTTATATCGGATAAATGATTCTGTGCCACGATTATCCGCATCACAGAGTACTGAGTCATCTTCACTAATTGCCGCCCAAAACAAAAGTAACAGCAGGCATCGACTGAGAGATCAAACGTAAAGAGAAAGCTTGTTTTCAAAGGGGACTCAATGTGGAGCTTATGCAAACAGATCCGTCAAATCAAAGAGGCGACCTGTTTTCTCAACAAACTCTGACTGATAGACGTGTTACTCCCAGATTTCCGTGTTGGGAAATTACTTTTCCTATGTCATCACAAATCAATAAGACCAGGGGTGAAGGCTGCTGTTTGAACAAACACCCACTGAATGTAACATTGGCTGTTTGGTGGAAGAAGGAGAAAAATTGGATTTAATCCAGAATTCAGGCAAAGCTTAAACAGTTCATTGGATTAATCATAAAATGATTACTGAAAGAAATCTGATAAAAGTAGGAAAGAATTAAGAGAAAAAAGGTGAAAGTCAAAATCAAACAAGCTTATGCCACTTAGTTGGTGTCGATAAGATTATTAACATAGGATGGATGATGGTTGTAGAGGACCTTAAATAACGTGTTTCTGTACTCTGATGCTGAGTTTAGGTTCAGTCATAGACTCAGCAGAATCAGTTCATCCTCAGCTTCAAATGAGAGCATGGGCGGTTCTACAGGGGGCCAACAGGGGCCCATTTAGAACTGGTATTGGCTCCTGGGTTGTCAGCTGTACTGAAGATATAATCCAGACAGTTTTTATATGATGACACATGCTGATTAAGGTCCTTTCATGGATGTTATTTTGGACCAGGAGGAAAACCACAGCTCAAACTGAAGAACGCTTCCCTGAGTTTGGACCTCCCACAAGCTCCTGATTGGCCCACCTTCTTTCCCTGTGTGATTGGCTGTCACTGCTGTCACTCCTGAGATGCTCACTTTACAAACATGTGATGCGCCTCTGAATCTGATTTGTGATTTGACGGCCAAACACGCTGAAGTTAGTTGGATTAAAAAGTACTTGCACCCCTCAACTTCTGAAATCAAAATTTTGTTCATGGCTCCTTTGGATCAATTTCTTGTTTTAAAACTGTCTAAGAAAAGATGTATCTGCTGTGTTGCCATAGAAACATTGTTTTCAACTGTTTAATCAGAGGTCTGCAATCTGCTACCTGCATGCTGCCACCTGTGGCCAAAACACAAAACTGCAGCTCTTTTATGCTCATTGTCATTGCTCACGCTTGTTCTCAGTAAGGTTTTTTCACCTTACCTGGAGCTGCTTGAAGTCTGTAGAGCTGGATGGTTATCCACCCTCTTAAATATAATGCTTCTATTGTTTGCTTGGTTAGACCCGTTTAACATGGACACGCTTGATGTCACATCCGCCAAACAGCTTCAAAACTTCTGACCTGATGTACCTTCAGGAAAATAGGCTACAGATTTCTAGATGCATTGGTGCTGAACTACTGAGGCAACACTGCTCATCAAACCATGTTTTAGTTGTGAAGGGTAAAATGAAAAGGGTTTTTAAAGATATTTTTCAGTAAAAACTTACATAACTGCAACTAGAACTGCCACTGCATGAGAGCAGGTGCAGAGTTAGGATATTTCGGGCTCTATGCAAAGACAGGCAGGGGGCCCTCTGAGAAGACAAACACATAAAACAGAGTCATTCTACAGATAGAGAAATGTTATTAAAACAGGGGAGATTCCGATGGCATTTTAATGAGGATTTTTATTAAAAACATAATTAATGTGCAGAAATAAGTAAAAGCTGCATTAACCATACATGTAAAAGGAATTTTATGGGCCCCTCAGGAACTTGGGGCACTAGGCCTAATGCTAAATCTGCCCCTGCATGAGAGACACCCCAGGTGAGTCATATTTATTGTAGTGGCAAATTGAAAAATAACATGTAAAAGCATAACTCTCCTCTTCATTCTATCTGGATGTTACTTCACTTTGCCAATGATGCAATCCTCATCTTTGGTTTCACCAGGTTAATTAATTAGCAGTAAGATAATGTGATATAAAAACCAACACACCAATTTGAGACCTGAGTCATTTTTTTAAGACTGTGAAAAATGTGTAGACGTGTAGCTTACACGCAGCAACCTGTTTTATTGTTTGATGCCATGAGAAAAAGCAAACAACCTCTCTAGGCTACAGCATCTGCTGAATCATACAAGCAAAAAAAAGTTCCTACCAGGAACTCCAAAAAATCAGCAATAAACTACAGTTTATATGGTGCAGGAAATAGTGTGGGTGAATTTAACAGGGATGTGTCCTAATGATAGATATGACCTGTAAAGCAGCAGCAGGGAGGAGATTCCTGTATCCAGTCATATCTGGGTGAAACACTTGGTGATGATAAGAGCAGTGGCGGAGCTGAATGGGGGACAGGAGGGGCCATGGCCACCCCTACCAGTTTTTCTCTCTAATATAGAAGGTTGCAGCAGTAATACTCTCAAGTGGAATATTCAAAACATTGACATTTTACATATATTAACAATTACTTTACAACAAAAACACTGTGATAAATGATGCACATCAATAAAGTAACATTAAAGATGATAAATACAGAATTCCTGCTCTTTTCAGAAATAGATTTTGTCTTATGGGGTAAAGAAAAAAATGATGCGTCTCTGCAAGTCATGCTGGAGTCTTTAGTGAAATCATAGTTAAAAAATTATTTTAATAAAAACTTATCAAATAATCAATTCATGTTGATATTAGTACTTGTATATATAATTGTTTCTTTTGCAGAATGATTATTGATAAAGGTCCCAAAAAAGCCCCAGAGCTCAAACCTGAAAAATTTTTTTCTACTACACCTAATTTAGACAAATATATGCGTCTATTTGTTAGCAAAGCCTGTAGGAAAGTATGGTATGTCTTTATTTATAAAATATGGATGTTTTAGTTGTTCATTTTCCTTTTGGAACAGTGTGACCCTTTCAGCCACCCCTCAGTGTACATTGGTTGCTGCCTGGCCACCCTTCTAAAACTTTCTGGCTACGCCTCTGGATAACAGATAGGAGGGGTTTCACTGAATTTCTTCAAAATGTTGCTTCCTTTCTAAAGTACGTGCATGGTGGATTATGATAACAAAGAAAACTAAGGAGTGAATCAATCATGTCAGTGTTAAGAAGGGTTTGCCTACAGATCGGAAGGGCTAATTAACTCCTGATACTTATTGTCATATTTATTCAAAACTTCATTCCTGAGGATCATTTATTACGTTTTTATTGGCTGACATGATTTTTCTGGAACCGTTAAGTGACGTTTCAGAGCTGACGTTAAACCAGTGTCCTGTTAGAGATGTTTTGAGCTACTTCTACCATGATCTAGTTTTTACAAACATCTGATTACTTTTCCCAAATATGTGCGATTCATGAATTTAAAAACCTTTAAAATAATAATTTTTTTTCTCAAGAAAATTGTTTTCCTGTAAAAAATGAATGTCTCAGCGTATCCCTCTGCATACTGCTAGAACAGAGAAGTTTTTCATCCACTGAATTAATAATGAAAATGTTGGAATGTTCAAGAGGTTTAGGAAAAAACGCAGAAGATTCTCAGTCATCCAGGTCAGAGTCATTCCAAAAAAGTTAAAACAAACAATCCCCTGGACTTTGTTTCCAAGTATTAAGACGTTTTGCTTCCCAAAGCTTTGATGGGCTACTGTATAAAGCCTGGAACTCAATGCTATTCCTGACATTTTGAATTGAAAAAGCTTCCTGGATGGGAAGAGAAACGGTTTCAAACTTGGAGACAAAGTCCAGAGGATTGTTTTTTAACTTTTTTAGAAAAAACCTGCTATGATTTCAGCATCATTAAAGGTTTTATTCATCTTTCAGCTCATTCCCATGACTTTCACTGCAGACCCTGTATCTATCCAGAGTAAAGATTCCTGGGTTTGTATCACAGACTTGCACACTGCTAACTTTTCAGCAGGATGGTGAATACTTGTTACTTGAAACTCCGCCCACCTTCTATTTAAATCCTCTGTTAGGCAGCTCAGCTTCACATTGGAACTGGATCTTGACCAACAGGATTGGATTCATAGGAATAGGATCCCTTTTGACTGAATCTATGATCTCAACTCCACCTTAAAGGTAAGATTAAGACACTTTATGTTGCATATTTAAACAATATAGGTAATATTTCAGAAAAAAAGGGTTCTGGTTGTAATTTTTCTGCAAAAAGTTGTTGAATGCTCAGTTTTATTAGGAGAGAATGCATTTTAATAATGAACAAACGTTTTTGACATTTTCTTTCAGCATAAAGAATTAAAACATCCAGTTTTTTTCTGTTTTGCCTCTTTTTAAGGTGTCATTCACATCTCCAGTTTGACCAAAGAGTGAAACCTGAGTCCAGCATCAACTTCTTCTTCTTCTTCTTCTTCTTCTTATATTGATTATTCTCCCCCATCCTTGGACGTGAAGCCGGGCAGATATCACCTCCTACTGTTTTCCACAGAGAGTGAGATCTTTGCCGGAGATGCGGACCTTCCTCCTGGGCTTGTATTGCATCAGCCTGCTCTCCCTCCAGCAGATGTCGGCTTCGCCGGCCGGGGAGCGTCCTGACGGGAACAGGTAAGACCGCCTAAACATGCAGCGACACACCTGTGCGCCTTTTTTATACCAAGGAACGAAGCTACGCCTGATTGGCCGAGCAGAAAGGTTTAAAAAGTCGCGCACCTGTCGGCTTAGATCAGACGGTCACGCGCCGTGCTGCGTCACCAAGTCGGAAACTTTGAATCAGCTGCTGAGCAGCAAATGAAGATCTGAAAGGTTGGAAATGAGTTTTCTGCCCGCGTGGCGCAGCTGTTTAAATAAAGCCACAGTTTGAGTTCAGACTTTCTGCCTGCGTGTCTCTGCGTGGAGTCACATGAGAGTCGAGAGCTGCAGAAAAATTAACTACAAGGTCGAAGGCTTGAAATCCAATCAATTATTGTCTCTTTTTTAAGCATCACTGCCAACAAATACATAAAGACATTAGAAATATAGCAGGAAAACCTCCTTATTATTCCTGTCTTCTATCTGAGGAACAAATGTGACCTAGTATTTTATTGCTGCTATCTCAGAAGCAGTAAAACTGTTGATTGGGGTCATGGCTCCATGCAAGGTCAGATATGAAATCATAAGAATAGCATAGCAACATTTACAGGAGACAATGAATCCTCCTGGGTCCACTAAACATCTTGGGGTGGCCACTGAAACTAAAAGCCATAATTTCAGGGTTTGAATCTACTATTGTGGTAAACCTGCCTGTAGAAATCAGAAAGACTTCAGTAAACACCTCCTCAGATCCTGGTTTACAGCAGTAGCCATTCAAAATGTCCTCACTTTCCTTGGCTAGTCCTTGGCTAGTCCTTGGCTATTCCCCTACAGTTCCTTGTTAAACATCTAAAATATTCTTTCTGTCTTGATTTGTGGACATTAAGATCTAAAGACAAACATTATCTCCTGGTCAGACCCTGCAGTTCAGAGAAAGATGGAGTCACAGTGAAAAAATGTGCACGCCCAGGAGAAGACCAGTGGCTGGAAGTTGGAGGGGATTTTGCTGCCATTCTGCTGGCTTTTGACTGGGAAGGGCCATTCTGAATGGTGCTACGGTTTTGTGTGATTTTTTGTAATGTTACGTCGCTGGCTGTGAATAATGGGATGAAATGCTGACCTGAAGCAACTATAATTTACAGTGGCGAGTGGGGTGGCCAGTGGAGTCAGGAGATCCGCTGTAATCAGGAGCCGGTCTGCGTATTGTAGGTGAAAGTGCACTCAGCAGTAAATCAGTCATGTTAGTCCTGTTTTTCTTTGCTCCACCTTTAAATGCCAAACTTACACATGAGTTACGATGTGGAAAGACCTCCTGGTGATTATACAAGGTGGGGAAACCAGTTTGTATGTATGAATGGAGCTCCATAATGGAGCTTTGCAACCATGAATGGCACCTGTTCTTTTTAATAGCAGAGGGTTTAGCTGCAAAGCTCTGCAATAAAAGATCAGGCAACAACCTCTACATCAATCATTGTGCTCAGTAACAGGCTGTAGGCTCATTCTGCTGTTTGAGTGATGCTCATCCAAGTAATGGTGCAGTTGCAAAGGCAGTAGCAGTTTAAAGGAAACAGAGTGTAAAGGGCGCCCTCTACTGGTGGACCTGTGTGCTCTGTTGATGCAGTTTCTGACTTCAGGTTTAACTTTTTCTGTCTGTTTATGAGTCAACTATAACCAACTGAGAGCGATGTGTTTTAGTATAGATTTAAAAATGAACGTAAAAAAAAAATAATTTATTAAAATTTTAAACGCATTGTTAATCACTAAGACATGTTAAAATGCAAAATTAAAATATATTTATTTACATTTTCCACTTAATTGCAGCCCTGAATTTGTGTTTCTTTCTGTAAGGAGCTTGTTTTAGGCCAAGTATAAATGAACCATTGATTGATTATAATAATCTATAAATAGTGACTAACCTGGTTAATTGTTTCAGGCCTATTGGAGAAGTGTGGCAGAATAAAATACTTATATCTGAAGGTACTTTACAGTTCACCAGATCATTCAGTCAGATTGAAAGTTTTCTATCTAAGGAAAACCAGCTGATTGCATCGACTTCTTGACTCAAAGGCAATCCCTCCCATTAAGCATGCTTGTAGCGACAGTGGAGAGGAAAAACTCAATTTTAACAGGAAGAAACCTCCAGCAGAACCACATATAATAGCTTTTTAAGCCTCCAGATCCTGCATGTTTTTTTTCACTCAGAAATATTTCTAAACACTTGAATTCTGTCTTTAATTTAAGGCTTAATGAGCCTCTTCCTCTGTGCTCAGGGTGAGGCTTTCACTTGCTTCATATTCAAAGTGGTTTAGGAATGGTCTCTTAGAAAGTCTTTAGATCCCTCAATTTACAGCTTTATAACAACTATACAAAACAGAACATTTTTATCACTAACATTTTTTATTTTAGTTGAAAGTAAAACAGTTGCCTCTAAAAAATATGATATGTTGATATATAAACCATAAAGCAGATTAGAATGTTTAATTTTTTTCTGTTTTTTTTGGAAACCCCTCAGAGTTTTAAAGCAGCAGTTCTGGGTAAAATCCCAAAGCTTTTAATCAAGTAGCATCTCTTTAGATGGCCTATTGTAACTTTATCAAACCGTGCCATCTCTTTGTCTATTGAACACCTGCTGCTGAAGCCTTCACCTGCCAGCCTGTAATCCCCTTGGCCGTATCTTAATCCCTCAAATGCATCTTTTTCTCCGTTGGATCCAGTCTGCCAGTTTTTCAGTGCTTGAATCCCCCTTCTAGCATCATCGGTTCTAACTGTTCTGTTGCTGTCTTATTAAGGCTCCAAATTCTTCCTCCTCTCTGCACATGATGTCCTGTTATCATCACACACTGTCAGAGGAATCATAACAGACTCATATATTCCACATTTCTTTGCCTGTGAGCTTGGATTTCTCTCATTCCTTCCATGTTCTGTATCTGTCGACGGTGCATCTCTGTAGCCTGATAAGGTAATGCTGAACCCCTGCAGGAGAGGTTAAGTGTTCCTCTGACCACATGCAGCAATGTTGTACTTTAAAAGAAAAAAAACTCTAAAAGCTGAAGATCTGTCTTTCTGAATGGTTCCATAGTTCTCGTTTTTATTGTTAAATTAGCTCCCATCCAAATTAAACTTAAACAACTCTGACCTCCTTCCACTAAGAGTTCAATCTTGACTTCTGCATCTGTTCAGCGTTCATTTTTCCAATTCATTGTTTGGACAGAAGCTGTTTTCTGTTTGCTTTAGAAATCTTTTCTCAGATGTGCCTTCAAACCAGTTAAATGGTTCTTTGGTTGCTGCCCAGATCTCACTAAGAACAAATATCTTGTTTTTTAAATGAAGGACATGCTGAGATTTGCAGTTGGACCTATTTGGACCCTGCTGTGTCTGCGTCATGGTACAATAACATGACAGTTTAGTCTGAGTTCTTGTGTCATGGTCCAGGTTTGTTTATCGTCACCGAGGTCAAATTATGTCATGTTATTCTCTTTTAAATCATTAATGAAGAACAACAGTGAGCTAAAGTCCACCAGACATCATCTGTAGGGGATTCTGTGTTTTTTCTCCTTTGCACAGATTTAATACTTAACTGTTATTATTGGAGTTTTGGTTTTTTTAAAATCTCTTCAGTCTTTGGGATTAAACAGTTCCAGTGAAAGGGGCTGAAAGCAGCGACCAAACAGGTGGAGAATTCCTCTCTGGATTATCGATTAAAAAACAAAACATGGAAACAAGCTCTGCTTTCCACGCCGCATTGAACGCCTTCCCTGCTTAGAAACAACAAGCACTCAGCGGGAAGCACAGCTGATGATGATGCTGAATGTCTTGTTTATTTATCGCTGGCTTTTGCTGCCTTTGGATTTACCTTTCTGACCCAATGGCTGCCATCTACTATAAGATAGTTCCTATTTAAACATCCAGCCCACAGGCCTAGAATCATCAGCACCGCAGATTACAGTTCTGTCTGGTCTGGCAGTGAGTGTCAGTGTGTGAGTCACCTGAAATATTATCATTTCAAATCCACAATGAAAATACATTTAGAACCAAGAGACAAATCTGATTGCAGTAAGACACTAAACATGCATTCAGTAACTTAAACAGAGGCCATACCGTTCATACGGTTGAGCGGCTGCGTAGCTCACCAAGTCTGAGCTTAGCCTTCCTGCCACCTTTTCTGTGGCATCGTTATGCAACCGTCTGTCCAGTTGTTTGACAATAACCTCACCAGGCTACCACACCTGACTGGCTGAATAAATCACAGCCTTCACATAAAGTCTGGATGCTCCTGTTAAATAAGAAGCAATGTTATATTTGGAACAGCTGTGGCATCTGCCACCCACAACTCAGAGCTACATTTTCCTGTTTGTCTGCAAAGCAAACATCTGATGCATTTGCTGAGATCTAGCGTTCAAACATCAGTACTCCCACTGCCTGTCTGCAAGGTTCAGTCTGTTTCCTGTGTGTCCCCCACCCTGGTGTCCAGCAGTGGGGATAGTTTGGACACTCTGTGGTTGGACTGTAATACTGATGAGCTGCCAGGTCATGTTGTAAGAAATGCACGGCCTGTTCAAATAATGAACAGATGGTGGATCTTTGGTTACTGTTTGCTGAGAGACCGGTAACCGCTGGCTCATCACTTTGCTCACCAGATCTTTCCAAGCGTAGAAACTGTCCAAATGTCTACTTTCCAGAGAAAACCTTTTAGACAAGGATCAATGAAAACTATTAAGTAATAGTCTAGTTCAGGGCCAGACTATTAGTTGAATTTGTTGCGGTTTTAATGAACAGAATAAATAAAATAATAGATCATAAATGTTCAATAACACCAAGGGCCTCAGTTTCTGGTCATGTTTCATTTAAAGAGAGTAGGACCCAAACCTTCTCACTACAGCCCTGTTGTGGGCATCTATACTATTAAACTTCTCTTGCCACCTCACAGAAGTTTACAGAGAAATGCAGCGAGAGAAACCCTGCAGCCAAACATGTATATGCTAGTTCCCAATGCAGAGAAAATCTACAGTTATCAATCACATCATTTTTTTCAAAGGTAATTACTATTTTAATTGTTGGCAAAATGGGGCAGTCCTCCTACTGACAATAAAAAAAAAACAAAAACCAACGGACTCTGCTTTTAAACAAATTTATAATGTTGCACGAGTTAGAACGCCACTGATGTGCCATTTTCCCTGGAGCCGTTTAGCAAAACCAAAACAAGTCTGGTCAGATCTTTTCTGTATTGAGTCTCTTTATACACCTGAGAAGTTCGGGTTCTGGCAATAGGAATAGATGAGAGATTAACTGGCTTCTGCAGAAGTTCCCGGGTAAAAAGAAAATATTCATTAGAAACGCTCGTTTGGTTTGGCAAGATGGAAAAAACTCCATGAATAGGTTTCCAGGGCTGAAGACGGGCTTTGTGCTCTGGATGTGCTTCTAAAATGAAAGAAGTCCATTTTTACATTTGGAAGTACCAGCACTGCCTCCCAGTTTTTGGACTGTGTAGATGATAACCTTTTTTATTCTTTAGAAGTCATACATGTATTTAACGTTTGTCCAAACTATATGAAGAAATGACAAAAACCTAAAAGAACATATTGTTACCAGTTTTCTTTTTTCCTTTTTTAGACTGGTTGATCGTGAAGAACCCATCATCCAGGAAAAGGAGATCTCCGCCCCCTCAGAAAGCCCCACAAACAGCATCCTACAATATCCAGTTACAGACAAACTCCGCAAATGGCTGTCCAGCTTACTCCAGCACCCTACGGCGTCAGGCGTGAGGACGGCATCTCCAGGCCTGACATGGGGACGGCTCACTGAGGCTTTTCAGATCAAGAGAAGGGCTAAGCGCTCCCGTGGCCACACACACTCAAGAGGGAGCAAAAGCCACCCCCAGCATGCCCAGTTGAAGAGAGTGGGTTGTGTCCTGGGAACCTGCCAAGTCCAGAACCTCAGCCACCGTCTGTATCAGCTCATGGGTCGGAATGGCAGGGAAGAATCGTCCCCCGTAAACCCAAGGAGCCCTCATAGTTATGGATGAGCTTGGCTCCACCTTTTGCAAGTCGATCAGTATCTCTATTTATTTGACTTAAGGTATTAGTTGTAGTTTCTGCATTTGAAGTTGATCTAGTCCACAGCCAGCTTGACTTATGGTAGAAATCTCTTACCTTTACTATTTGTATTCGATGGATGGATTTTAAAATTTTATTTTAATATCACAATGGACCAAATCAACTCCAAGGTTCGACAATCTCCCTCCTGAGAAAACTTGGACTATAAGACATCTTGGTTTTCCTTCTCTGTTGGAACATTTCTACCTTGTTAAAGAGGAACTGAGCATCCAGTAGTATAGTTGTCTACTGACCTCCATAGCCTTGGATATCTGGCTGTTCTCTGATCAAACCCTTCAGCCCCTAATGTGGATTAAAGCAGCACCATGAGCTGGAGACCTGTCAAAACCAATGTATTTCTGAAGGCCTTTTTAGCAGCTAAATGAACCCTTTTACCTTTTCATCGGCTTTAAAGTTCATATCCAGTTTAAATATGAACTCGTTGATCACCCTACTAGTTTGCATTTAAACTGGGAATTCACCTCCGAGAAGGACTTTGAGTTCTACTTCTGTCTTATACCCACCGAAATAGGGGCTAGAATGGAATCGACGATTCAAAAAAAGGAAAAGGAAAGTGTTAGCATGCAGGGATTAGTTACTGAGTCCAGAAAAGATCTGTTTCCATTTGGGATTCAGCTAAAACAGGAAACAACATAAAAATATTTGCATAGCAAAAACCTCTTTTATCTGCTAGCTTTGTGGCCTAGAACATGCAGGGCTTCTAGTTTTAAAGAGATTAAAAGCAGAACTCCTTTGGCCTTTTTATGTCGATTCCAACGCAAATAGGCACAAGAAGGCAAACTAGCTACGAACTCCAATAAAACACGCATACATTATGATTTTCTTCTCAACTATGTAATGCGGTGTTACAATGTGGATCTAAAATGAAAACCACACTGACCAAAATGCTAGCTGTGGCCGTGCCCAGTCTGAACACATGTAGACTAGTAGCAATCAAAAAAGCGTGTCCCAACATCGTCTTCTATTTATGTCAGTCTCTAAAATTGGGAAGGTGGATGATAGACTCTGACTTTCCTTTGAACAAAGTCTCATTTGTTGGCCATGTTATAATTAGCCAGGAATTAAAATTCCCAATCTGTCCAGGCTTTTATTATCCTTACCCACTTATACAAGCTATATCACGGAATATCTATTTTTGAGCTTTTTAAGATGTTTTAATGCCGTTCTTTTATCAATTCTGACAGTACTTTGACAAAAATTCGCCAACTTTCTCTGATTCGTGATACAAAGCAAAGTGCAATAATTTCTGCTCAGCATTGAGTCAAAGTGGCTCTTTTAGAACCTAATATACACAGCAACAGCTTGTGCTTTTTTAAGTTAATATTTTAGTGACAAAATGTGTTTTCTGAAGCTAAAGGTCTGATTTTGTTCAGCTTTCCTAATTGCTGACAGTGGAATGATATAAGGCTGCAGGGGTAACTTCAGAAACACTATTATTTCATAGCCAGTGAATTCTGCCAGTGCTAAAGGTAGTATTTCATCATACATATGCCAATAGTTGAACTCAGAAGAGTTAGAAAAACGCGTTCCAGAAACTAATCCCTTATAGGCCCGTCAAATGGGGACTCTCTCAGCTATTGTTCTAGCAGACAACAGTCCACCGCAAGGCCAGTGGTTTGATCAAAGACAACAGTACTGGCCAGAATGCTTCCACACCTACCAGGTGAACCTAAATTCATTAGTGTAAAGCAACACTGGATATTTAAATTTAATCTAGAGGGATGACTGTGACTGTGTCTTTAAGGAACTCCATGACTTCTCAATCTGCTGGTCTAATGAGTTCGGCCATCAGAAACAAAAAACAAACAAAACAAACACTGTTTGAGACATTCATGGGGTGTTAGATCTGGAAGTTAAAGGTCTTGCACCCCTAGTGGGTCAAAGGTAATCAGTGCTGCTTTAATAAGCTGGGACCAGAATAAGCCAGATATCCCTCTATAGGCTCAGAACATGGCTGGCACGTCTGAATAAGAAGGTCAAACTTCAACAATCACTAGACACCAGAAAAGGCCTGATTGATGGTTTTGTAGCATTAGCATTTTATATATGCATTTTATTAAATCTCCAAGACCCTCACAGGCGCTGTTTGAGAAGAAAAGCAAGAAAAGAGTAGAAAAGCAAGTCACTTCATTTTATCTTTAGTATTGTTGTGTGATATGTTGTTTACATTATTCCAACTTAAAGGTTTAAAATTCCTAAGATTGCATTGGTTAAAACTCACCAAATATCTGGAAATACTTGACTGAGTGGTCTTACAGTATACAACCCACATGATATGAAACCTTAGATGTTCATCCTTTTTTTTGTTTTGTCTTTGTTTTGTCATCTTGGCTGTAATTCCTTCAGACAGGAGATCAAATCTAAATAACCAGCCGACTAATAGTCTTAACTCCATTCATTTCAAAGGCTTGCTGAATAGATCTTGCCTTCCCCTCTGCTGTAATGGAGCTAATCAATGACGGATCATTAAATGGAATACCAAGTAAAAAAACAAAATCTATCTGCTTTTAAATGTTTTCTTTCAGCCACCCACTGTGTTTGGATGTGTTTGAACTGCTAGCCTTATCACAGTTTTGCCATGGGTGGCCATGGCCACCCTGTGCAATGCCCTGGCCACCCCACTGGCCAGCATCAGTTCAGCATTTTATCCCATGATGCACATGAAAAATCACACAATAAATAAGTAGGCGTGTACTGACGCCTTTCTGATTTCTACAGGCAGGTTTACCACAATAGTAGATCAAACGCTGAAATTACGGCTTTTAGTTTCAGTGGCCACCCCAGGATTTCTAGTGGCCCCATCTGGCCCCCCTAAGTAACATTTCTGGAGGCATCACTGTCAGTGCCTCCTGGTAAGAAAACACCCAAAGGATTTCAATGCTGACACAGTCCACTGATGCCTTTCACTTTGTCAGCCAGCTTGTTCTCCGCTTCACAAATTGATAGTCAGGTGTTCTTCTTAGGGTCACAGGAAAGCACTTTAATGCCAGCATACTGACAGTGTTTTATGACTTGAATTTCAATGTTGAAGAGCTTGTGACGGCGGGATGAGGAGCTTCCTGTGAAAGCTACCTTGTGATTGTTCATGAATGTCTCTGAAGGTGTACGTGCCCTCCACATGGCGTGAGTACACCCGTGAATATGTGTTATTCAGTTGTATTTAATGAAAGTTATATATTTAAGAATTTAAGTTATCTTTGTGTAATAATGTCTTAGAACTATTTATCTTTTTTTTTTTCCATTGTATTTTATCAGAGTAGGAAATAATCGACTGTAGTCCAAATGTTACTGTTTTTTCATGTTCTTCAGTCTGTAAAAATAAAGTACTATACTGTAGAGTCAGAATACTTGGTGTACTTTCAGTCTTTTTTATGTTACATCTAAATCAATAATTTTGAGAGGAAAAATATATGTATGTGTGTGTATGTATGTATATATATATATATATATATATATATATATATATATATATATATGTATATATATATATATGTATATACACACGTAGGTGTCATATTGACCAGGTTAAACATTAATATTAAGGTTTTATTACAGATTCCTAGTTGTAGTTCTAAACATGTTTTGGGGCATTCTAACGTATTTGATTTGGTTTAAGCTTTTTTAAAATGTAGCTCTGGTTGTTGTCATGGTTCAACACCATATGGGCTTTGTTTTCTAAGAAAAACCCAGCAAATTGAATACTCAGTGACTTTGAGTAGCATTTGGTCCTCCTGGTTGAGCATGTGGTGACAGTGGAGAGAAAATCTCCATATATATATATTTGAGATATCATAAATGCACATTCAGTCAAGCTGATAAATGTCAAAAAGTCCACTTAAAATGTTTAAACATAAATAAAACGTAATTCTTGCCACTACAATTTAGATAGGCTCAGTGAGGTTGGCCATCTACTGAGATTATCTGTTAATTTGAGAAGGCAGAACAGACACACAAAAGGAAAAGAGGAGCACTGATTCTGGAATACATTCCACTCAAAAGAAGGAAAAAGTTTAGTGGCAGTAGAGCTCCTTCAGTCTCTCCATCTAAGAGAGAAACTCTGTAAAGCTGATGGACAGTTTAGATGATGAAAGACAAATACAGTTTGTCACAGTAAAAGTTCAGTCAGTAGCTATTTCTAGGTGGGAGACAGAGTGCTGGTGAAAGACAAGAAAAAGTGTATAATTTACAGAAGAAGAATGTTAAGTTGACAGAACCAGGCCAGATGTAGCTACTTTGAAGAGAAAAGACAGATATAACATCAAGTTTGAATTTCAAATGACTGCAAACAATCTAAAATTGAAAAGTAGCAGAAGAACGGAGAAGATAAAGTTCTCCAGCAGTCTAAGCCTATAGCAGCATAACTATAGAGATAGCTCAGGATAACCTGAGCCACTCTAACTAGAAGCTTTATCAAACAGGAAAGTTTTAAGCCTAGCCTTAAAAGTAGACAGGGTGTCTGCCTCACGGACTAAAACTGGTAGTTGGTTCCACAGGAGAGGAGCCTGATAACTAAAAGATCTGCCTGCCGTTCTACTTTTATAGCCTTTATGAATCCCTTATTAACCTGCAATCTGGGCACAAACTGCTCTTTTAGGATAAAAACTGATATAACAAGCAGCTTGATTATTTAGGGCTATGCAAGACAGATTGTTTTTGTATTCTGGACTCAAAAAGTAGCCAGCAAAGGAAGATAAAAAATAGACAAAATAAGATTTCTGCTTTTTGGTTTTGGATAGTCTGAGGATTTTTTAAAACATTTAGTGGGGTTTCTAATAGATTAGATTTGTTGTCTGATAAATAAATCTAAAGCACTGGATAGCTGCTCCTCTTCTAGAGGTACCTGTTGCCTCTTAGTTGCTTCCCTTTTTAAAGTTCTGCTTTCCCAGCTTGGTGTTTATGTGGATGGATATATCTTGGTTGGTTTTCAGCTCGCAATATTCTTTGTTTTTCAGATTATACATTAAGCAGAGCCCCGTGAGATGGTCATTGCTGGGATTTTTGTTTGTAACCAAACCCTGCATTAAACTTCACCAAAACCCCATGTTTAACCTGTTAGCTGTGTTCCTTGGTCTCACTTTAAATAAATAAAGTTTATTTAAAAACATCTGAGGCCTTAACAGAAACCTTTATTTATATAGCTGCAATGTGACAATTGTTCAGATATTTAAGTGTTATGAATAACTTTACAGGGAAGTGACAAAGGATACAGTAGGTGATCCATCTTCCTTTGGATCGATTCCATTTCCACTGTGTCTCTTCCACTGATGTCTGAGCTGAAGTCAATCATTACAGGAAGAAGTCTATGGGAGGACTTGGGACATTGTGAAAGAAACATCAGAGATCAGGACATGATCTGCTAGCTGCCGCTTTGGAACTGGAATGACGGGACACAGTTAATGAGTGATGGAGGGAGTTTGGCCACAAGCAAGGCAGGGATTTGAGGTCTGGAAGGGGGTGGGATGAAGAGGAGGGGGCTGAAAGATAGGAGGGGACTAATGTTATTTTGACATATTTCTTGGAGCCAAATGCTTTTGAGCGTAAAGTTTTATTTAGGTTTATTTAGTCCAGCAAATTGCGGAAACCTTTTGATTTGTAATATTTATATGTTGGCGACAAAAGCTGTCTTTCTGTC